ATCAAAGTATAAGGAAACATGTTCATAAGTATCAAATAAGTGAACTAAATTATGGACCTTCACTCTTTTGGTGTTGAAAACCTTTTTCCAAGACCTTTCTTCTGCTAAAAATCGCCTTCTGGGAACCCTTCAATCAGCCAAAAGTCTTTTAAATCGTAATGGGCAAGGGAATTTATAGTATTCTGATTTCCCGAGTTCACGTCGTGAACCATAAGGATTCACGTTGTGAATATTAGATAACCGTGTTCAGCAAGGACTCTTCCACCCGTATGCATATCTTCTAGAATTATCGACTCACGTCATGAACCATGAATTGTTCACGTCGTGAGTACGTATTTTGGGTGATTTTTCGTTCTTCTTTCCTTCAATCCTCCAAAGTTCCATATTCTGTCAATTTCAGTCCCTATCTTCGAAGATGCTTCTGTTTGGCTGCAAAATAACAAATTAAACTTATAAGTACCATTATTCTATGCAAATGACCAAAATATTAATAGAAATGTAATTAAATATTGCCTAAAAATATGTATAAATATGGCAATATCAAAATACCCCACACTTGTTCTTTGCTTGCCCTCAAGCAAATCTAATTATTAAATCAAACCTTCATAACCAATATCACATAGAACGATCCAAATCAAGTCTCAGCCATTATGCTAAAACCTCAACGCATGCATTTGTGTCTAAAATTTTTCCTAAGTAACCCCCCTCAATTCTAAATACTCACAATCCTCATAAACACTTGGCCACTTCTTTTGAACAATGCTCATTTTATGCAACCCTCCGAATCCATTCCCAGAAATCCTACTTAACCTCAAAGTATTTTTGTAAAGCTACCCAAGCATACATAAACTAGAGAATTTCAACTTTTTAGAAGATACCACATCTTGGAGCTCTTGAATTCTTCTTTTCTTTGATGCTTGATCTTTGATTTCTTTGAATTCACTTCTTTCATGATTTTTGGCATCTTCAACTTTCAACTTTAAGAATTTTGATCTTTTGATCTTCAAACTTTGATACTTTTATGCTCCAAAATTCTTCAATTTCTTTACTTTTGGTAATTTCTCTCTCTCTTTTTTTTACATGTATCTCACTTTTTTATATCACTCAAAAAACCTACATGCTTAAGCAGGGGCGCTTAACTTCAACCTTTATTGGTTAAAGTATATTTTTCCTGGATACATTTCAGGTTTAGGCTGCTAAACATATCGCATCCCTCAAACTAAGCGAGATTGTGTTTTTGTCCCATGATTTCACTAGAATAAAGGGGGCCACAAATGCACTATAACGAATATCGGCTCAACTAAACATTTGAGCTCTTATCGGATCATCCCATATAACACTAGCAACTGCAGTTCAAATTATTACTACTAGATCCAATTAGTAAAAATTTCAAAATTTTTAAAATTTACCAAATTATCTAGCAATTTACTTATCTAGCAATTTACTTTTTCTACCCCCTACCCCACACTTATTACATACAATGCCCTCATTGTATGCATAAAATAAAATTCAAAAGCAATAAAAGGGAGAAAAAGGAACAGACTCCCCTGGGATAGAAGTGGCAAGATCGAACTCCAAATGTGTAGTGGACATGTGCGTCTCGAATATTGAACTTCATCTAGAAAAGAACTTGGACTTGTACTCACGAAAGATGTAAGTAAGCCAACAAGCGAAAACAATGAATCGAAACTTCAATCTCCCATAAGAATGGTGTAAGTCTTCAAAATGTGTATAGTAGAGGAAATAGCCAGAATGCTCGTCATAAAACACCGAATTTTGGTGACAGTGGAAAATTCACGACGTGAAAAAGATAGGCTCACGACGTGAATTTGCAGGAATGCGGATTCAGAAATCTCTTGGAACCCAACTCACGACGTGAATAGTAGGGGCTCACGTCGTGAAAACTGGGCAATTGAAAAATGAAACTGCCCACTTTTCTCATTACTTTTAGCATCCCACTCCAATATCCAAATTAATAAAAACACTTTTGAATGCGAAATTTGTATGACTCCTTGCTAATTCCATCCTCTCTCTCGACTCACCCCACACTTATTTTTAATTGTGGGTCTCAACTCTTAACTCTAGACTCGTAACACTCTTGAATAAACTTTCACAACCCTTGACTTTACTCCCTTCCTAAGACTCCTTAGCAAGCTGTAGTTCAAACAACCAAAAGGAAACAAAAGTAACATAATAGTAATCCAAGTGTTTAACAATCCATACAAAGTTTTCAAACCAAACAACGAAAACCAAATAAACGAAAAACGAAAAACTAAAATAAATAAGAACAACTAGCGATCAATCATCATCCTCCTCATCCCGAGCTCCACTAGTGCCTGCCCCATCTCCTCCTTGTCCACGATACTCCGTCCACCTCGGGCAAATTGGGTAATGATACCCTAGGTGAGGAGGCTGCTCCACATGGAAATGCCGAACCATGTTCTCCATAGTCCCTCCAATCCAGTTAACACTCAAAGAAAGCTGATCGAAATACCCAGCCATATCATCCCCAATATGTGATCCTACCATGGGTACGGAATTTGTTTACGGATTTTATCAAAATTTATATGCACTAAATCTTTTTTATTACTTAAAAGTATATCTTTATGTTGAGAAATCTCATTCTCTGTATTACGAATTTCTTCAAATAATTCACTGGTATCAGAGCCTTGTTAAAAAATGGTACTACATTATAATAAAACACTTTACAGTGAATTATTTGAAGAAATTCGTAATACAGAGAATGAGATTTCTCAACATAAAGATATACTTTTAAGTAATAAAAAAGATTTAGTGCATATAAATTTCAGAATTCTACAAGCACAAAATAAACATACTCACGAATATATACCAACCATGGTTAATATACGTAAGTACCTCCTTCATAGGCAAAAAATGCATCAAGAACACCTTGATAAAGCTTTAAACTCAGTTTCAGAACTCAGAAAAAGGATTTTAACTTGTTAACATTTCTTAAACATGAATAAAGAAATTTTCAACAATTCTGAAGAAAATGATTCAGAAGAAAAACAAATCCTAACTTATGTTGAGGATGAAGACGGCTTTCATGCAAACCTCTTAATAAAACAAGATCTTCTCTCTCGGGTCAAGAAAACAGATTTAAAAATAAAGAAAGAAAACATTTTCAAAAATGTTCCTTCTAAACTTAGTATTTTAAATCCGCTTAAAAGGAAAAATGAAATTTTCTACTTTGTTAGTACTAAAGAAATGTCTGTAGACATAAAAGACACAATAGGAGCTGTCTTTCTACCCCTTTTGACTAAAGAACAAATAAACAATAACTTAAAAAGTATTCCAGTTGAGATTAGATCAAAAGTAAGAATGGTCCATATCGGAGCTGTAAAAATTTTGATAAAATCCCAATTCCAAGCAGGAATAAATTCTCCCATAAAAATGGCCTTAATTGACAACATAATTACTGACAGACAGGACTGCATCTTAGGTGCTGCTAGGGGAAACCTTGCATACCAAAAATTTATGTTTTCAGTCTATCCAAAATTTGCTCTAGATTTGAAATCTGCAAATATAGATAAAACTTTATCTTTTATACATCACTTTGAAAGAAGTGACCTTATGAACCCAGGTGATAAACCATTCACCATAACCTATCTCATAGGATATGCCCTGACCAATAGTCACCATAGCATAGACTACAAGAAAGACGAGTACATCGAACTTGATGATGTCTTTTCAGAAATAGGCCATGTCAAAGATAAACAATTCTGCGACATAAATCCTCAAGAAAACTCTTGGGTTTTAAATATAGCTAGAAACAAAAAGCTCTAGGAGAAACTCTTAGACCAAGAATTTCTATGGATTCACTCCATATAGGAGAAAGCTCAGAAAGAAAAGATAGTAACTTAATAAGAAACATGTCTTTAAAAATTGATAGTCTACGTCAGAATATCAAACAAATCTCTGAGGTAATAAATGAGTAATAAAATAGATTTTCCTCATTTTTATAAAAAGGTAAAACAGTAAAAATCAAAACCCTTGACGACAATACTGAAAAGAAAGAATACGTTTTCTCTACTTCTGGAAAAGCTGGTATTCAAACAATTGTAAATCATTGCAATAATCTCAACCAGATCATTGCAAGATGTCTCTTAAAAACTTCGAAAATATGCCATTACCTTGGTATTTCAAAAGATATTTCTAAAGATATTTCTAAAAATAAAATACCTTTTAACCAATTTAAAAACGATTTAGCCATTTTGGTTAAAAATAATCTTGATAAAAATAATTTTGAAAAATTCTTCGAAGTTATTGAAAGACAAAATAAACTAACTATCAAGCTAACCCAGTCTATTGACAAACATTCTATTCTTTTAGAAAACTCTTTAAAAAACAACCATTTTGTTGAAGAAGTCGCCAAAAAGGCAAATATTGAAGGCACTCTTAAAGAAAACAACCTTAAGATCACTAATATACAAGAGCAGTTAAAACAACTGATAGGATGACCTCGATACCCGAGCTAAATAGATCAATCAACCTCCTTAATGAAAAAATAGATGGGCTGATTATAAACTTTGACTTAACGGCCATTAAATACGTAACCACTACACAGTTAGAAGTAGCATCTGCAAAAATTATTGCAGACATTACTAAAGAGTTATCTGAAAAGATTGACTCTTGCCCTTGTAATAAAGACATTCTTGAACACATCAAGAATATTCCCATCATAGAACAAAAAACCAAAACTGGAAAATATTCAGGTCTTAAGAAATACTCACCTCCCAATCCAAGTATTGGAAACCCTGACTTAGGAAGCTCAAAAGACTCCCAGAAAATCGATATTTTCAAAAAAGAGCAAAAATGAAAGAAACAATCTCTGAGAAACTTGAGAAATATTTCTTTAACCTTCAATATGAAGATTATGATAAGGCTGACCAAAAACTTATTCACTTTTATCTTTAGAAACTGAAGAATGCGAAGAATTGTATCAAAAAGAACCCAAACTTTTTGATCAATATTTTAGAATGACTAAAATAGATGAACCTGATACTGAATCAGAACAAGAAGATAACTTTAAGACTAATACAAAAACTGTAAAGTTCGAATATTCAGATATGGAAGATGATGAAGCAGAATCTTCTTATACAGCCGCTAGAAGAAGCAATAAAAAGAAATATGAGTTCAAAATGCCTGTCCACAATGGTATTCCAAATAGTGGTCAAGGATCCAATACGATCAATGTACTCAATATTGATTGTATCCAAGATCTAAAACTCAGAGAAAGAGTTGTAGAAAAATGGGTTACTGAGATTTCACTAATCTTACAGACAAACCCAGATGAATTTGAAAAGCAAAAAATGTTCTACTACTTTTAGAACACAAAACTGATGGAATTGTGCAAAAATTCCTAAGAAACAATAATTGGAATGAAGAAATGCATGGTTCAGATCTTTTTGATAATATCATAAATGTCATATACACTACTTTCTTAGGTCTTGATTATATTTCTAATAAAGACTTCACCATTAATAAGAAAGTTGACATAGCAAGAGTTTCAATGACAAAACTCCAATTACATGATATTAGTCTTCTCGACAAATACACATGTATGTATGAATCATATCTGTATGATATTCCACAAAGAAGTGAATATGCGCAATGGATATCTGCTTACCTCATGAAAATTCCAATTATTGGAGAAACCTGTACAGACAGATGGAAAAAAGAAGTTACTGGAGAAATCCAGCAAACCAGTCTTTCTTATGCAACAAAAATTGCAAAAGAAGAAATTGATAGAATCTGTCAAGACAGATATAAACAACAAAAACTTAAAACAATAAGCAAAGATTGTTGTAGCATTCTCTCTGATTTCAAAAACTTTGATATTGGAAAGAAAAATTATAATAAGAAAAAGTATAAAAACAAAAAGAAATTCAAATCTTTTTGGAAAAAGAAAAGAAGAAAATTTTCACCAGGAAAATACTTCAAAAAACCTTCAAAAGAAACACCTAAGAAGAATACTTCCTGTCCGCAAGGAAAGAAAAAATGTAGGTGTTGGATCTGCAATGAAGAAGGACACTACGCCAATGAATGTCCAAATAGAAAAAAATACCCAGACAAAGTCAAGGTTTTACAAACCGCTAACAATGGGGGATTTGAAGCTCTTGAAGAAGAGTATGATGGTACACAACATGTTTTTATATATCATGTTGAGACAGAATCTTCATCAGACACTGATGAATACGAATCAACAACGGATGACTCAGACTAGTCCCATACAAACCCCACTTTTCAGAGAGGAGGAGATTAACCATTTTTGCGTAAACCTCCAGAAGATTGATGATTCCCTTATCATGAATCTTACTAATCCAAACTCTATCTATGTTTCTACTTTCCTTAACTTTAAAGGATATAAAAAATTTAGAGTACATTGTTTTGTAGACACAGGTGCATCTTTATGTCTTGCAAGCAAATTCATCATTCCGGATGAACTCTGGGAAAACGCTCCCAAAGAAATTAGTGCCACTATTGCAAATGGTGAAACCATAAAAATTAATAAAGTTTGTAGAAACATTAATCTCGAACTTTCAGGAGAACATTTCAACGTTCCCACTATTTACCAACAAAATTCAGGAATTGATATCATAATTGGAAACAACTTCTGTCAAGTTTATGGACCATTCATACAATGGATAGATAGAATCGCCTTTCATCTTAATAATGATATGGTAATTATAAAAAAGGTTACAGAAGCCTATAGCAAAGGAAAACCAGGTTTTCTTGAAACTCAAGAAAAAGGTTCTAAAGAAAAACAAATTCCAGGTACTAATATAACCCATGAAGGGATTAATAAAGAAAAGATTATTTCTATTCAAACTACCAGGTTCAAACAGATTGAAGATCTTCTTGAAAAAGTTTGTTCTGAAAATCCTATTGATCCAATAAAACCAAAGGATGGATGAAAGCTTCAATTAAGCTTATTAATCCCAAGACGGTTATTAGAGAAAAACCTATGGTTTACTCTTTACAAGATAGAGAAGAATTTTCCAAACAAATCAAGGAATTACTTGATATGAGACTAATTATAGAATCAAAATCCCCTCATATGTCTCCTGCCTTTCTTGTCAATAAAGAAGCAGAGAAAAGAAGAGGAAAGAAGCGCATGGTTGTCAATTACAAAGCAATCAATGATGCAACTATTGGAGACTCACATAATCTTCCCAATATGCACGAACTCTTGACTCTTCTACGAGGAAAAAAACATTTATTCAAGCTTCGACTGCAAGTCAGGTTTCTGGCAAGTTCTACTTGATGAAGAATCGCAGCTTCTCACTGCCTTCACATGTCCTGATGGACTCTTTCAATGGAAAGTACTACCCTTTGGGCTTAAACAAGCTCCTAGTATTTTTCAAAGACACATGCAGAACGCTCTTCGAGGCCTTGAAGGTTTCTGCACTGTATACGTTGATGACATCATGATCTTCAGCAAAAATGAACAAGAACACTATGTTCATGTCACACAGGTTCTCAGAACTATTTTAAAATATGGAATAATACTTTCAAAAAAGAAAGCTCATCTTTTCAAAACAAAAATCAATTTTTTGGGTTTAGAAATAAATGAAGGTACTCATTGTCCTCAAAAGCATATTCTTGAACATTTACATGACTTTCCAAATGTTTTAGAAGACAAAAAACAACTGCAAAGATTTCTTGGTGTTTTAACTTATGCTGAAACATATATTGAAAAACTTGCAGCCATGAGAAAACCTTTACAGGTAAAATTAAAAAAGATGTCATCTGGAATTGGTCAAATGCTGATACAGACTACATCAAAAAGATAAAGAAAGTTTTAATCAATTTTCCAAAACTTTATCTTCCAAACATTGAAGACAGTTTAATTATTGAAACTGATGCTTCTGATGAATTTTGGGGAGGTGTTTTAAAAGCTAAAAACCCCAAAAACGAAGAACAAATTTGCAGGTACACCTCTGGCAGTTTCAAAGCAGCTGAGAAAAACTACCATAGCAATGAAAAAGAATTACTCGCTGTAAAAAGAGTTATTACAAAATTCTCTGTATATTTAACACCAGTAAATTTCCTGGTTCGTACAGATAATAAAAATTTTACTTATTTCCTCCGAACGAAGATTGCAGGAGATAACAAATTAGGCCGGCTAATACGATGGCAAGAGTGGTTCTCACGATATACTTTCGCTGTTGAACATCTCGCAGGAAAAAAAACGTACTGGCAGACTGCCTCACTCGTGACTTCAGGTATGCCTTACATCATCCATGATCTCACTTGCTCCTCTCGAGCCCTATAAAAGGATATGATCCTCATGACATATTTCCTCACAAAAAACTTCACCTACAAAAAAGTGAGGAGGAGATTAGAGAGAAAAGTAAACAAAAATTGAGTTTACAAAAATGGAAGACCTCAACATTTTGAGGATGAAGAAACAAATGCTCCTCATAGAGCTATCTGCAATTGAGCAGAAAATCAACTTGTATGAACAAGTAACAACGGTCACCAATGTACCGGAAAGCGAAAGCTCAAAAACAAAGGCTATTCCAGTGCAAACGGCACCTGGTAAAGAATCAACAAATCCGTTGAAAGCTGATGCTTTGCTAAAAAGCATAATAAAGGAGACAGCTACTCCTCTTCCTAATGGAAAAACTAGCTTATTGGTTGATCCCAATCCTTGTACTGAAGGAATCAGTAAAATGACAACTTTGTCACCCACTAACAAATCTGTGCAGGAGTTCACACCAGATTACAAAAAAGCTCTTAACAAAGAAGCTGAAAGATTTTATGTAATCTATAAAGGACCCCATGCCGGTGTTCATACTGACTGGGGAATTACAGAAACCTTCTGTAAAGTTGATAAAGTTACTTGCAAAAAATTCAGAAATGAAACATCTGCAAGATTAAGCCTTGCCACTTATCAAGACGATACAAGCAAGACTAACCAACCACTTCTTCGACCAAAATTCAAAAAGTCAAAGAAGCCCACAGAGACCAAAGGTTTGACGTTCCAATTGACGTTCAACAAATGGTTAACTATCCTGAAATCTCTTTTGAAGATTTCAGAACAATCTGGAAGAAAGCAAGAGCTGCATGCCCAGAAGACCTTGTTCATGAAAAGTTTTTCACTACGGACAAGAAAACAAAAAGTCTGTTCAACTTTCTCGAAGGAGCAGATGCAAAATTAGTCTACCAAGCCTTTCAAGCTGGACTAATCGACAATATCTACCCAAGCTGCAACCTTCAAGAACTCAAATTCTTCCCAAGCAGCATGGTAGAATCCATTAAGAACTTTCGAAAGAAAGTACTTAAAGCAAAAGATAATCCGATCTACATCAGATGCATCTCTTCACTCCCAGAATGGATTCAAGAATCAACTCTTTCTCCATACCACTTTCTGGAAATTGGTCTTTCTAAAGCCAATAGAGAGATTGAACAATCTCAACCAATGGAAGATAAAGATCTACCTTTCACAGAAATTCTTCATCCTAACCGCGTCAATGGTTTAAGAAGAATATCAGAAAAAATCATTGAAATTATCTCTGGTTCAAAAAAGAAGATTAATTATACCGATTCACATTGTATAATTACAAGCTGGAGTTACAACAACACCAGCCAAGAAGATCTTCGTCAAGCCTCCAAGTTTGGAGAAAAATTCATGAACAATAGCATGGAAGTATCCAATGCTACACGCCAACACTTCTGCCGACATGCAGAACAACTTTTCGAAGAACATCTTTGTCACTTTTGTGATTGCAAAGATTCGGAGACAAAGGAGGGACCCCCTCTGAAGATGACAAATCCTCATCATCTTAAAGAAAGATGCTTCACGTGTCAAATGGCCCCTCCACTCAAAATAATAATGCCTTTTCTCCATTATTAAAAGCTTTCCAGCTGTCCACAATAATGTAATCTTTAGTGGATAAAAACGTCATGCCTGACATAATAGGCAAGGATCAGACCCTCTCAATATATCTATAAATTGAGAGTTATGTTTTAGAGAAAGGATCATCGCAATAACGAGTGCAACAAAAACACTCTCTATCTTGTAAATTTTCAGTTCAATGTCTTGTGAGTAAAAATCTCCCTTAGAAGGGAGAGATGTAAAATATTATAGGAGTACTCCCATTTCGGGAGCTCTTTTATCAATAAATCTTTGTTTTGTTATACTTGAGTGTTCTTACAAAATAGAGTCATGAAACCTGTAAGTGACAGAGTGTCAGGTCGACGATGGTCAACAGTACCACAGGCATGAGGCCAACAGGGAAAGCAACCACATAGACCAATGATTGACACAGGCTGGCTTGAATAGTTTCTATCTATGTAAGTAATACTCCTACTACAAAACACTTATTGATTAATGAGTTTTCTCTTTACAATTTTTGCATCTATTTCCTTCTAAACATACAAAATATAATAAACAAATTCCGTACACCATCACTGGTATCAGAGCCTTGTTAAAAAATGGTACTACATTATAATAAAACACTTTACAGTGAATTATTTGAAGAAATTCGTAATACAGAGAATGAGATTTCTCAACATAAAGATATACTTTTAAGTAATAAAAAAGATTTAGTGCATATAAATTTCAGAATTCTACAAGCACAAAATAAACATACTCACGAATATATACCAACCATGGTTAATATACGTAAGTACCTCCTTCATAGGCAAAAAATGCATCAAGAACACCTTGATAAAGCTTTAAACTCAGTTTCAGAACTCAGAAAAAGGATTTTAACTTGTTAACATTTCTTAAACATGAATAAAGAAATTTTCAACAATTCTGAAGAAAATGATTCAGAAGAAAAACAAATCCTAACTTATGTTGAGGATGAAGACGGCTTTCATGCAAACCTCTTAATAAAACAAGATCTTCTCTCTCGGGTCAAGAAAACAGATTTAAAAATAAAGAAAGAAAACATTTTCAAAAATGTTCCTTCTAAACTTAGTATTTTAAATCCGCTTAAAAGGAAAAATGAAATTTTCTACTTTGTTAGTACTAAAGAAATGTCTGTAGACATAAAAGACACAATAGGAGCTGTCTTTCTACCCCTTTTGACTAAAGAACAAATAAACAATAACTTAAAAAGTATTCCAGTTGAGATTAGATCAAAAGTAAGAATGGTCCATATCGGAGCTGTAAAAATTTTGATAAAATCCCAATTCCAAGCAGGAATAAATTCTCCCATAAAAATGGCCTTAATTGACAACAGAATTACTGACAGACAGGACTGCATCTTAGGTGCTGCTAGGGGAAACCTTGCATACCAAAAATTTATGTTTTCAGTCTATCCAAAATTTGCTCTAGATTTGAAATCTGCAAATATAGATAAAACTTTATCTTTTATACATCACTTTGAAAGAAGTGACCTTATGAACCCAGGTGATAAACCATTCACCATAACCTATCTCATAGGATATGCCCTGACCAATAGTCACCATAGCATAGACTACAAGAAAGACGAGTACATCGAACTTGATGATGTCTTTTCAGAAATAGGCCATGTCAAAGATAAACAATTCTGCGACATAAATCCTCAAGAAAACTCTTGGGTTTTAAATATAGCTAGAAACAAAAAAGCTCTAGGAGAAACTCTTAGACCAAGAATTTCTATGGATTCACTCCATATAGGAGAAAGCTCAGAAAGAAAAGATAGTAACTTAATAAGAAACATGTCTTTAAAAATTGATAGTCTACGTCAGAATATCAAACAAATCTCTGAGGTAATAAATGAGTAATAAAATAGATTTTCCTCATTTTTATAAAAAAGGTAAAACAGTAAAAATCAAAACCCTTGACGACAATACTGAAAAGAAAGAATACGTTTTCTCTACTTCTGGAAAAGCTGGTATTCAAACAATTGTAAATCATTGCAATAATCTCAACCAGATCATTGCAAGATGTCTCTTAAAAACTTCGAAAATATGCCATTACCTTGGTATTTCAAAAGATATTTCTAAAGATATTTCTAAAAATAAAATACCTTTTAACCAATTTAAAAACGATTTAGCCATTTTGGTTAAAAATAATCTTGATAAAAATAATTTTGAAAAATTCTTCGAAGTTATTGAAAGACAAAATAAACTAACTATCAAGCTAACCCAGTCTATTGACAAACATTCTATTCTTTTAGAAAACTCTTTAAAAAACAACCATTTTGTTGAAGAAGTCGCCAAAAAGGCAAATATTGAAGGCACTCTTAAAGAAAAAACCTTAAGATCACTAATATACAAGAGCAGTTAAAACAACTGATAGGATAACCTCGATACCCGAGCTAAATAGACAAAAACCAAAACTGGAAAATATTCAGGTCTTAAGAAATACTCACCTCCCAATCCAAGTATTGGAAACCCTGACTTAGGAAGCTCAAAAGACTCCCAGAAAATCGATATTTTCAAAAAAGAGCAAAAATGAAAGAAACAATCTCTGAGAAACTTGAGAATATTTTCTTTAACCTTCAATATGAAGATTATGATAAGGCTGACCAAAAACTTATTCAGCTTTTATCTTTAGAAACTGAAGAATGCGAAGAATTGTATCAAAAAGAACCCAAACTTTTTGATCAATATTTTAGAATGACTAAAATAGATGAACCTGATACTGAATCAGAACAAGAAGATAACTTTAAGACTAATACAAAAACTGTAAAGTTCGAATATTCAGATATGGAAGATGATGAAGCAGAATCTTCTTATACAGCCGCTAGAAGAAGCAATAAAAAGAAATATGAGTTCAAAATGCCTGTCCACAATGGTATTCCAAATAGTGGTCAAGGATCCAATACGATCAATGTACTCAATATTGATTGTATCCAAGATCTAAAACTCAGAGAAAGAGTTGTAGAAAAATGGGTTACTGAGATTTCACTAATCTTACAGACAAACCCAGATGAATTTGAAAAAGCAAAAAATGTTCTACTACTTTTAGAACACAAAACTGATGGAATTGTGCAAAAATTCCTAAGAAACAATAATTGGAATGAAGAAATGCATGGTTCAGATCTTTTTGATAATATCATAAATGTCATATACACTACTTTCTTAGGTCTTGATTATATTTCTAATAAAGACTTCACCATTAATAAGAAAGTTGACATAGCAAGAGTTTCAATGACAAAACTCCAATTACATGATATTAGTCTTCTCGACAAATACACATGTATGTATGAATCATATCTGTATGATATTCCACAAAGAAGTGAATATGCGCAATGGATATCTGCTTACCTCATGAAAATTCCAATTATTGGAGAAACCTGTACAGACAGATGGAAAAAAGAAGTTACTGGAGAAATCCAGCAAACCAGTCTTTCTTATGCAACAAAAATTGCAAAAGAAGAAATTGATAGAATCTGTCAAGACAGATATAAACAACAAAAACTTAAAACAATAAGCAAAGATTGTTGTAGCATTCTCTCTGATTTCAAAAACTTTGATATTGGAAAGAAAAATTATAATAAGAAAAAGTATAAAAACAAAAAGAATTCAAATCTTTTTGGAAAAAGAAAAGAAGAAAATTTTCACCAGGAAAATACTTCAAAAAACCTTCAAAAGAAACACCTAAGAAGAATACTTCCTGTCCGCAAGGAAAGAAAAAATGTAGGTGTTGGATCTGCAATGAAGAAGGACACTACGCCAATGAATGTCCAAATAGAAAAAAATACCCAGACAAAGTCAAGGTTTTACAAACCGCTAACAATGGGGGATTTGAAGCTCTTGAAGAAGAGTATGATGGTACACAACATGTTTTTATATATCATGTTGAGACAGATCTTCATCAGACACTGATGAATACGAATCAACAACGGATGACTCAGACTAGTCCCATACAAACCCCACTTTTCAGAGAGGAGGAGATTAACCATTTTTGCGTAAACCTCCAGAAGATTGATGATTCCCTTATCATGAATCTTACTAATCCAAACTCTATCTATGTTTCTACTTTCCTTAACTTTAAAGGATATAAAAATTTAGAGTACATTGTTTTGTAGACACAGGTGCATCTTTATGTCTTGCAAGCAAATTCATCATTCCGGATGAACTCTGGGAAAACGCTCCCAAAGAAATTAGTGCCACTATTGCAAATGGTGAAACCATAAAAATTAATAAAGTTTGTAGAAACATTAATCTCGAACTTTCAGGAGAACATTTCAACGTTCCCACTATTTACCAACAAAATTCAGGAATTGATATCATAATTGGAAACAACTTCTGTCAAGTTTATGGACCATTCATACAATGGATAGATAGAATCGCCTTTCATCTTAATAATGATATGGTAATTATAAAAAAGGTTACAGAAGCCTATAGCAAAGGAAAACCAGGTTTTCTTGAAACTCAAGAAAAGGTTCTAAAGAAAAACAAATTCCAGGTACTAATATAACCCATGAAGGGATTAATAAAGAAAAGATTATTTCTATTCAAACTACCAGGTTCAAACAGATTGAAGATCTTCTTGAAAAAGTTTGTTCTGAAAATCCTATTGATCCAAATAAAACCAAAGGATGGATGAAAGCTTCAATTAAGCTTATTAATCCCAAGACGGTTATTAGAAAAAACCTATGGTTTACTCTTTACAAGATAGAGAAGAATTTTCCAAACAAATCAAGGAATTACTTGATATGAGACTAATTATAGAATCAAAATCCCCTCATATGTCTCCTGCCTTTCTTGTCAATAAAGAAGCAGAGAAAAGAAGAGGAAAGAAGCGCATGGTTGTCAATTACAAAGCAATCAATGATGCAACTATTGGAGACTCACATAATCTTCCCAATATGCACGAACTCTTGACTCTTCTACGAGGAAAAAACATTTATTCAAGCTTCGACTGCAAGTCAGGTTTCTGGCAAGTTCTACTTGATGAAGAATCGCAGCTTCTCACTGCCTTCACATGTCCTGATGGACTCTTTCAATGGAAAGTACTACCCTTTGGGCTTAAACAAGCTCCTAGTATTTTTCAAAGACACATGCAGAACGCTCTTCGAGGCCTTGAAGGTTTCTGCACTGTATACGTTGATGACATCATGATCTTCAGCAAAAATGAACAAGAACACTATGTTCATGTCACACAGGTTCTCAGAACTATTTTAAAATATGGAATAATACTTTCAAAAAAGAAAGCTCATCTTTTCAAAACAAAAATCAATTTTTTGGGTTTAGAAATAAATGAAGGTACTCATTGTCCTCAAAAGCATATTCTTGAACATTTACATGACTTTCCAAATGTTTTAGAAGACAAAAACAACTGCAAAGATTTCTTGGTGTTTTAACTTATGCTGAAACATATATTGAAAAACTTGCAGCCATGAGAAAACCTTTACAGGTAAAAAATTAAAAAAAGATGTCATCTGGAATTGGTCAAATGCTGATACAGACTACATCAAAAAGATAAAGAAAGTTTTAATCAATTTTCCAAAACTTATCTTCCAAACATTGAAGACAGTTTAATTATTGAAACTGATGCTTCTGATGAATTTTGGGGAGGTGTTTTAAAAGCTAAAAACCCCAAAAACGAAGAACAAATTTGCAGGTACACCTCTGGCAGTTTCAAAGCAGCTGAGAAAAACTACCATAGCAATGAAAAAGAATTACTCGCTGTAAAAAGAGTTATTACAAAATTCTCTGTATATTTAACACCCAGTAAATTTCCTGGTTCGTACAGATAATAAAAATTTTACTTATTTCCTCCGAACGAAGATTGCAGGAGATAACAAATTAGGCCGGCTAATACGATGGCAAGAGTGGTTCTCACGATATACTTTCTTTGTTGAATATCTCGCAGGAAACAAAAACGTACTGGCAGACTGCCTCACTCGTGACTTCAGGTATGCCTTACATCATCCATGATCTCACTGCTCCTCTCGAGCCCTATAAAAGGATATGATCCTCATGACATATTTCCTCACAAAAAACTTCACCTACAAAAAGTGAGGAGGAGATTAGAGAGAAAAGTAAACAAAATTGAGTTTACAAAAATGGAAGACCTCAACATTTTGAGGATGAAGAAACAAATGCTCCTCATAGAGCTATCTGCAATTGAGCAGAAAATCAACTTGTATGAACAAGTAACAACGGTCACCAATGTACCGAAAAGCGAAAGCTCAAAAACAAAGGCTATTCCAGTGCAAACGGCACCTGGTAAAGAATCAACAAATCCGTTGAAAGCTGATGCTTTGCTAAAAAGCATAATAAAGGAGACAGCTACTCCTCTTCCTAATGAAAAACTAGCTTATTGGTTGATCCCAATCCTTGTACTGAAGGAATCAGTAAAATGACAACTTTGTCACCCACTAACAAATCTGTGCAGGAGTTCACACCAGATTACAAAAAAGCTCTTAACAAAGAAGCTGAAAGATTTTATGTAATCTATAAAGGACCCATGCCGGTGTTCATACTGACTGGGGAATTACAGAAACCTTCTGTAAAGTTGATAAAGTTACTTGCAAAAAATTCAGAAATGAAACATCTGCAAGATTAAGCCTTGCCACTTATCAAGACGATACAAGCAAGACTAACCAACCACTTCTTCGACCAAAAATTCAAAAAGTCAAAGAAGCCCACAGAGACCAAAGGTTTGACGTTCCAATTGACGTTCAACAAATGGTTAACTATCCTGAAATCTCTTTTGAAGATTTCAGAACAATCTGGAAGAAAGCAAGAGCTGCATGCCCAGAAGACCTTGTTCATGAAAAGTTTTTCACTACGGACAAGAAAACAAAAAGTCTGTTCAACTTTCTCGAAGGAGCAGATGCAAAATTAGTCTACCAAGCCTTTCAAGCTGGACTAATCGACAATATCTACCCAAGCTGCAACCTTCAAGAACTCAAATTCTTCCCAAGCAGCATGGAGATCCATTAAGAACTTTCGAAAGAAAGTACTTAAAGCAAAAGATAATCCGATCTACATCAGATGCATCTCTTCACTCCCAGAATGGATTCAAGAATCAATCTTTCTCCATACCACTTTCTGGAAATTGTCTTTCTAAAGCCAATAGAGAGATTGAACAATCTCAACCAATGGAAGATAAAGATCTACCTTTCACAGAAATTCTTCATCCTAACCGCGTCAATGGTTTAAGAAGAATATCAGAAAAAATCATTGAAATTATCTCTGGTTCAAAAAAGAAGATTAATTATACCGATTCACATTGTATAATTACAAGCTGGAGTTACAACAACAACACCAGCCAAGAAGATCTTCGTCAAGCCTCCAAGTTTGGAGAAAAATTCATGAACAATAGCATGGAAGTATCCAATGCTACACGCCAACACTTCTGCGACGACATGCAGAACAACTTTTCGAAGAACATCTTTGTCACTTTTGCGATTGCAAAGATTCGGAGACAAAGGAGGGACCCCCCTCTGAAGATGACAAATCCTCATCATCTTAAAGAAAGATGCTTCACGTGTCAAATGGCCCCATCCACTCAAAAAATAATGCCTGCTTTCTCCATTATTAAAAGCTTTCCAGCTGTCCACATAATGTAATCTTTTTAGTGGATAAAAAACGTCATGCCTGACATAATAGCAAGGATCAGACCCTCTCAATATATCTATAAATTGAGAGTTATGTTTTAGAAAAGATCATCGCAATAACGAGTGCAACAAAAACACTCTCTATCTTGTAAATTTTCAGTTCAATGTCTTGTGAGTAAAATCTCCCTAGAGGAGAGATGTAAAATATTATAGGAGTACTCCCATTCGGGAGCTCTTTTATCAATAAATCTTGTTTTGTTATACTTGAGTGTTCTTACAAAATAGAGTCATGAAACTGTAAGTGACAGAGTGTCAGGTCGACGATGGTCAACAGTACCACAGCATGAGGCCAACAGGGAAAGCAACCACATAGACCAATGATTGACACAGGCTGGCTTGAATAGTTTCTATCTATGTAAGTAATACTCCTACTACAAAACACTTATTGATTATGAGTTTTCTCTTTACAATTTTTGCATCTATTTCCTTCTAAACATACAAATATAATAAACAAATTCCGTA